TCAGCTCAGATAAATCAGAGGGTGGAATGGGAGCTCAGGGCTGTATTTCATGTAGAGGAGCCCTGCTCTCCGGAAAAGCACCCAGTCCTTGCAACTGAAATACCGCATCCTCCTTAATTTCATTCCACAAGCCCCCTGCCCACTGCCAACTTGCTGTAAGTGGCAATTCAGCACCAAATTGAGCAGCAGCTCCCAATACTTCTCATTATTTTTCTGCATAATGTCATCATTTATGAGGACCTGGGTTGAGGGCAGCTCATACCCAGACCATTATTCACCCACAGCGCCTGAGAGCAAAGCCTGGCAAGGGCCCGGTGTCAGGAGTTAGCTGCTTGCCTCAGTCTTGGAATGACTGCAGGGAGATCTCTTTTCTCGCGGGAAAAGCAAAGCTCAGCTCATCATAACTTCTCATTACTATTTTTCCTCCATAACCCGACATGTCTAACAGATTGGGGGCCCCATGCAACATGGGGAAGATATGAGGGAACTCAAGCCACAGACTGGACTACCTCGATGCACAACTGCAATGGAATAAAGCTGAGGCTTCCTCAAAGCCCGTGGGTGCCCTGCTGACTCAGCTGGTTTTGGGGATGACAAATTCTGCCAAGCTTTCTGGAATTCTTGAGTTGGAGGTGGTCTGTGGTCCTGGGAATGTCTAGCCCATGTTCACAGCTCAGTCAGTGTTAGCATCAAAAACTCATTATCCTGCAATTTTCCAGAAGTTCTTGATTGTGGAGAAGAGCTCCCAAACATCATACTTGGTGACTGTCTCTAAAACTATCAGCAGTTGTCTACACGGGTTCTTCTAAGAAATGCTATCAAGCCAGCGAGAACCCAGGGGCCCACCCCCGCATGTTCAGCACCAAGGACAGCTCTGGTGACGCTCTGCATGAATTTGGCAGAGCCAAGGGTCTCAGAGCAGGACAAATGCCGCAGACTTGCTTTTGGGCTGAGTCATGGCTTCCCCACACCACCCATTCCTCCCCGAGCTCTAGCACCTTCAGGCTCACTCCCAGAATCCCTGCAAGCCTGGAACCACAGCCTCAAGCCCCTGAGGTTTTGCTCCATCCTTTCAGCTACGTTCAAAGCTGAACAGCTGGGAAACAGAGTGCTGTGGAGTGGGAACATGCAGCACAGGGTCCGGGCAGTCCGCAGAAAGGGTCCTTTTCAGGTCCGGATGCTTTCCAGGGGAGAGGGGTGGTAGAAGCACTGGGAAACCTGCTGGTGACGAGGCAACCCGGCCAGAGGCGCGTCTCGTGTGCACCAGCAGCCCCTCCCCCTACCAGTGCAGCAGACCCGAAGGAGTGGACTGCAGGTGCTGAGGGCAGGGTGTGCACGAGACAGACAGCAGGCTAGGAACTCTGCGGAGGAAGGGAAACAGAAAGAGGGATCACAGGTGCACAACGGGGAGGAAGAGACCAGCCTCCGCATCTGCAGCTGCTCCCCGTGCAAGGAAGTACTCAGGGCCCCCCAGGTTTTATGACTGCAGGTAATGGCGGAAGTTTCCTCACCTTTATCTGGCAACCTGAATCCAGAACAAAAGCCCTCCTCTGGGGACACTCACCTTAAAGGGAAGCCGCTTCTTGGGAAGCCCAGCTGGGCCTCCAGCTAGAAACCCAGCTGCCTCAGAACTCAAGGCCGTGCCTGTGCCGTTCCGTCTTTTTTGGGACCAGCCTCTGGCTTTGGAGAGGTGGGAGGAGCAAAGGCACCAGAACCTCCTTTCTGGGTTCCTCTTCCGGGTCCCCATCCCCCCGCTCTTTCTTAGGGTAGGCACAGAACAAAGCAAGGCAGAGCGGGTTTGCAGACCAGTGCTGGCATCTAAGTTGGACTCCTCAGCTCTGGGTCCGGCTGTGTCCTCCAAAGTCCACCTGCTGAAGTCTTAGCCCCAATACCTCCGAATGAGACCTTGTTTGGAAGTGGGTCACTGCAGCTCTCGTAAGTCATGGTGAGGTCACACTGGAGCAGGGTGGGGCCCCGATCCACAATGTCCCATGTCCTTATCAAAAGGGGAAATTTGGACACAGACATGCACACAGGGGCAGTGCCAGGGGAGGCCTGGAGCAATGCTGCCACAGCCCAGAGCTGTCACACCAGGAGCCCCGAGGGAGGCCCGGACCACACCCCTACCCAGGACCTACCCCTGGAGGGACCACGGCCCTGCCAGCACTTTGCATCGGACGGCAGCCTCCAGAACTGGGCAACAATGAGTCGCTGTTGTTCAAGCCACCTGGTTCGTGGTACTTCGTTTTGGTGCCACAGCAAACCAAGAACCCAGGTTAAAAAGCAAAAACCAAAGAAGCAGGAGAAAAGGAGCCCACGTTTCCCTTCCCAGGAAGCTGCTATCTCCCTGCCAAGTTGCGGTTTGAGGGAAGATGCGGTGGTCGGTCCTGAGAGCCAGCCACGGCAGCCCACACCACGCTGGCCCCACCGTCCAGAGCCGGCCATGGGGTCTCGGATGATCAACACCCCATCTACTCAGAATCACCCCCTACAGAGGAAAGGTAAAGACCAGCTTCCCTGAGGCAGGGCTTCTCGACGTCCGCACTGTTAGCACTGGGGCCGGGCCGGGCTTTGCCCAGAGGAGCCGTCCTGCACCTACTGGGGGTGTAGCTGAGCCCTGGCCTCTGCACTGGATGCCAGTAGCCTTCCCCTCCCAGCTGTCAATGCGAAGTGTCTCCAGGTGGTGCCAAACGTCTCCTTGTGGGCGGGGAAGAGTAAAACCTCCCCTGGCTCTTCTTTCTAGACCCACAGTCTTGCTTCGGGAGTTGATGCCCAGCAGTAAAGTGCAGGAGACACATTTGTTTAAAGGCTCTTGCTAGGAAGCAAAATGAGCACTTCATTACAGCCAGCCTTGTAGACTAGGATTTCCTAACCTCGGTCATGTTTGCCTGGCTTTGCAGCAGGCCCAGTGAGCACCTTGGACTATTAGGCAACAATCAGCTTCCTGTTGTGGGAAGTGTGCGGGGACCCCCAGGTCCCTGCAAACATATTTCCCCACCTTCTTTGTCTTCCCTACAGGTTCTAAAGAGATGTTGTGTAACGTGCCTCACCCTTCCAACACTCAGCCCATCCTTCCGGTGGCTGCAGGGAAGCCCCTCCAGCCTTTGTCCAGCATTAGACGTTTCTGCTGTGTTAGCATATCTGGAAGCCCATCCCGCTCTGCTCTGCCAAGTGCACTCAGCCATATTGGGACTGGACATTTATTTCCTTGGTTTCCGTTCAGAGACAGGAGCTCTATGCAGTAGCAAATGGATACTAGAATCCCAATTTCCCCCTTTCACTGGTGAGCAAATTGAGTTTGTTTTAATGGCATCCAGGCTGTTGATTTGCTTAAATCAGTTAAATGACCAAAGTGGTATTGTTTATTCTGCTTGTTAAAGACAGTTGTGCATGTCATTCATCAATGGGTCTCGGGGCGTTATACCCTGCACTGATGCAGGAGGGGCTTTCCCTGGGGAGCCCTCGGTCACTCCAGCCATCTGCCCTCACAGCCTCAGGCAAGGAAGCTTCCCGGTGTGCAGGAAAAGGAAATTCAAGGCACCCCCATTCTGAGGCAGAACAGGAGCTCTATGTCCCCGCAGGTCCTACGTGCTGGGTGAGGAGCCATGTAATTTGTCTGCGGATTCAGCAGTGGCCATGGGGTCGGGGGTGGGGACAGAGTGCCACCTGCTCTGCTGAGCTAACTGGGGGAAAGATGCAGATTCATATCTGCAAAGATGCCCGCAGTCATTGGCACAGCTGCTCTTTTGCGTGTGTTTTCTTTCTAAGGGAAGATGGCTGAGACCTCACTTTTCCAGCTCTGCAGGCCTTGGGTTGGGGTCCTGAGGGGCGGTCGACTCTGTGGTGGACAGCGGCTGCCTGCTCCTTCCCTCTTGTCTCTCCAAGGCTGGTCCGTGTTTCCTCATGGCGGCTTGGTCTGTCCTGTCTGTTAAATGTGACAACTGATGCGTGTGATTTTGGTGATATGTCCAAGTAACTCCCAATATGTGAGAACAGATCAGACATGTTGAAAGGTGCTCAGCAGATGCAGAGCCCTAGGTCTGGGCAGCTCGGCTTTACTGAAAAGCTGCCTTGATGGCCCTGCTTCCTCAGACTGTGCCGAGCCAGGGGGCCCAAGGGCAGGGAAGCCTCAGCAGCCGAGGCCAGGGATTCACCGTGAAATCTGCGGCAGGGGGAGCAAGACCCCTGATTACCCCCAGAGGGAAGTTCTGTCTAGCATCCCCTAAAGGCCAAGAGCAGAGTTTTCCAACCTCGGCACTATTAATGTTGGGGCTGCGTAATTCTGTGTCTTGGGGGGCCATTCTGTGCATGCAAAGATGTATAGCAGCACCCCCAGATTCTACCCAACAGTCAAGTAGCACCCCACACGGCCCCCCATCTAGACATTTTCAGATGTTCTCTGGGGCCCAAACACTGCTGGTTAAGAACAGCTGGGCTGGTGCCGGGGCGCTGCCCTCACAGAATCAGCCTTATGTGAGCCTGTCCCCTGCCCTCTGTGACTTCTGGGTGCTCCTGGGTTCCCAGCCTGGGTAATGGAAGGCCTTGGGGATCTCGGGCTGTGGGGCAGGCCCACGGTTAGATGCTTGGGGCCCATCCTTTCCCCAGGAGGCAGTTTCCTCTGCAGACGCAAGCTGGACTCAGACGGACCCTCAGAGCACAGCAAGAACCCCCCGAGCCTGCTCCTGTGGGCACTGTGGTCTCAGGGGGGACCACAGTGGGACCCTCCATCCAGCTGCTCGATGCGCAGACACCCAACCCCAGGACTGACACAGGGGACCCAACTGTTCTCTTCATTGTTGACCTGGGAAGGCCCTGCTTTGTAATGATGATGCTTCAGGGAAGAAATCTTAGAATCTGCGAATACGGCATAGAAACGTGAATGCCCGTCATCATACAGGAGGTCTCAGGCAAAACTGTTTAAAAATAAATGAACAAACATTTTGTTTTTAAAAAGCCCTTTTGAGGTCATGGCTTGAATTCATGGTGATGCTTCTCGCATGTGTTTTTTTATGTTATGTTTTTTTAATAGCAACATAAGAGTACTAAATACACACAGGAAAGTTGATATAAGTGTTCCATTTACAATGTTCTCCAAATACATAGCTCTGAAATACAGAAACAACTTTAAAAAATCTGGAATAAAAGTTCACCTGTATGGAAATCACACCCAGCCCCATCTACCCACCCAAATATATTGTGTCGTTTATTAACATGATTTTGATATGCATTTAAAGAAAAACACAACAGTAAACTGCAATAGTTTAACGCTCCCAAGAAGAATGATATATAAATATGCCTATAAGAACAACTGTGGTATAGATATATATATATATAACACTTAAAACAGAGAGGCTTTTGTTTTTCTCTTGAAAAATAACCAGTGCTCCATGTAAAAGTATAAATAAACAGTTAACAGTTTATTGTATCAGAAAATAATTTAGGAAAATCAAAATAAACCCAGCTTTACTATACATGAGTCAGCAGGGAAAAATAAAGTTCTGAAACATTCAACTTAAAACCTGTGAAAATAGGCCCCTGGGGCCTTTGCTATGAAGTTTCTGGTCCTGTGGGTCAGGTACATGGCGTGTGAGTTTCGGTTCCATGGGTGAGCTGGACAGGAGAGGGGAGACATGGCCTCCTCTCTTTAAACTGATAAAATTAGACCTGGTGAATTCAAGTGTTTTTCAAATACGCTAGGGAGTGTGAGAATGGGAACGGATCCTGTTTCTCAGACGTGTGACTCTCAGATAGATGCCCAGGGTGAGAAATCTGCCCAATAATTTGGGTGTTTCTGTGTATTCTGTTTATGCCACCCTAACGCCCACATGTGTCCAGTGGCCACACCAATGATGTGAAAACAAAATCCAAACGGTCGGACTTCCTTTTCATAAAACAGACATTGAGCCAGATTCGTGGAGGGCGCTAGCCGCGGGGGATCTCTGCAACTTGCCCTCTCACTAGTTCTGAATTTGATGAGTGGTTTCCACAGGATTCAACAACAAAGGAAGGATCTCAGCTATTTGCCTTCTGTTTGCATATTGGTATTTTCTAAACATTTTGCAGTAAATAAGTATTCCTTCTGGGGAAAAAAAAGGAAAAGAAATTAAAGATATCATAAATGCATGCCTTCTACTTCCTCCAACATCCAGTTTAAGACTTTCCAGGTTTAACTCGTAGTTGAGGAGCCCCTCACTGGATACACACGTGCAAAGGAACTGAAAACTTGAGTTTCAGCCCCATGAATCTCTTGTCAAGCAATCCATCAACCACAAGGAAACTTTATCAACAATGTCATTAAAGCACAGGGGAGGCTCTGCGGTTCTCCTTTTCCTGTGAATGATTTTAGCTGAAGGCTAATGGTGCTCTAGGCCCTAGCACCTGCCACCTTGTGCGGAATGATCCAGACGAGGTTGCCAGAAGAGGGGAAAGAAAACCTCTGTGGCTGTTAAGAAAACAATTATCGGGCGCCCAAAACTGGCCCTGTGTTTCCCCAGATTTCAAAACTTCATTCCAAAACTTTGCAAGTTCCCTCCCCCTCCCCTGGGTGGCAAGTGGCTCAGGGGGCAGTGAATGATGTACATGGCTCTGTCTTCCCACTCATCCGTGCCACATGTGAAGGTCTCCAAAACACTGCTGAATCTCAAGCCATTCCTTGCCATCTCGGGCTTGGAACTCGTCTTTAAGGATCGATTTTATGGCCAGTTGACTGAGAACCAACTTTGCTAAGAGACATCCGCCTCTGGCTTTGAGGAAACCATCCAAATGCAAGTGAAAAGCGAACAAAACAAAACCAAAAAAAGCGGGCATAGGTCACGGCAGTTCGATTCAAGGAGAGTGTGGCCCAATGCCAGCTCTGTAATGCCCTCGACTTTTCAAACCCAGTTTCCCAGTTCAAGGCCCTATCCTGGGAGAACGGTTGTGCAGAAGTCACATCACACTTAAGAGCATCTTAGAGACCCTCCTCTCCAGAATGTTCCTGTACGTTCATGTTTACTTGCTGTAACCGAAGAAAACTACACTCATGTTGCTTTGTAGACCTTAAGTCACATGACTTGATACTAGAAATCCACATGCATGAGAGGAGATAATATGGAGTGCAGTGCACAGCCCCAAATACTTTGGAGGCAGAGGGGACATTCTGTCTGGTGGCAGTAGCTGTCACACAGAACCTTGTCAGGAACAAGGTGATCGATCAGCCTGCCCCTATGCCCTTATGTGGACGATAACAGCCTGAGACTTCAGCAAAGCCCTCGTCTTCTAGGCCAGTCAGTCCTCACAGGGTGGGAATTGGGTTTGGGGTGTCCCAGTGGCTCTCTGCTGTCCCTTCTGGCCTGGCTGAGGAGTGGGACAGATGGATAATCTCTTGGGAAATGGGGCAGTGGTCCAGGAGGGGGTAGGGGTGCACACCCTGTGGTGTCTACCACAATGATCTGAAACACGTCCATGGGGGTCCTCAAAGGGCTTCAGTGGCTGCAAGTCTCCATGGCACATGGTGGTACGGGACAGCAGAATGCTCTCGCTTTTCCATGGCCAAAGTCTTCCCTGATTCTCTAGTAGCAGCAGCTTGCCAGATTCAGCAAGACCGACATTAACCGACAGTTCGCCAACCCAAAGCTATAAACAGCATCGCTAAATGGTCTTATTGGAGAATTTCAGAAATCTGACAACAGCTAGCCCGTGTGATCAGCTGAGTTTATGGTCACATAAGAATGAGGCTTTTAGGCAGTGGTTATTTGGTGTTGCAAATATTTGGGTGCTTAATGCACAAAACCCCAGGTCTCCAGATAAGTCTATTTTAAGAGTGATCACTTAGGACAAAGCTAATTAACTTTCATGAAGGAGAATTTCCTACTGTCCGTTCCCATCTGCATTTATTCCTGCCACACATTATTCAGCAGATGTTTCACTGGGAGATTCAAGATATTGGCAACAGTTAATGCAGCCCCAGGGGGTGTCCTAGCAAATTTCTTGGTTTATTATAGCATCCCATTTAATTTATACTATCTGTGGTATTTGTGTTCTGATTCCAACCTACATGGAAGAGATACCCGTAGCCATTTGAACACCTACTGATCTTTCCCCGCTCCTCACCAGCTGTTTAAACTACTTCCACCTTAAGTGCTTACAATCCCATGTCCCAGGAGGGCAAGGTCGGTCCAGTTTATGCCATGCCTCTCTGGCCGAGACGGTTCCATATACGACTTAGATTTATGGATTCATTCAAAACAACTCTCCGGATTCCATGCTCAGTGACTCGGGGAGCATCTAGCGGGGAATCCATCAAGTGGGAAATGCACTGGAGCCCCAACACAGACACAGGTTATGACCATGTTGACTATTTTCTTCAGGTACCTTTGCTATTGGCCGTGAGGTGTGCATTTACGAGTGGCACGTGCAGGCTTGCGTGATATCTGGGGATCCATGGAGAGAAAACTCTCGCCCCCAGCCCACTGCTGTCCGTGCACTACTGCCCTGCAGGGCTGTGACCTCACAGCATCCTGCCTCTTGCTTCTATGTTTCTGGTGTCACTTCATGCACAACTTTCTCATCAGTGGCAGCCTGCATGTTTAACTCCCTCACACCAAAGTGCAGTGGGATCGAGGAGGAAGTGCAAGCACATCAGAGCCCGGCTGTCTGTTCTGGGGGGATCCCTCCTCTGATAAAATGCAAATGCTTCCACTGGCCCTTTGGCATAAAGGGAGATGATGCGGAGCCACTGTCCCCAGCCGGGATGGCCTGCCCACACAGTAATGGATTTAAACTCCAGAGATCAGCGACAGCTTCCTTGCTGGCTGAGATCTCTCTGGAATCACCCCGATATCAAAAGCAGCTCAGACTTCCCTTGTGTTTGGAGGCTGGGGGGATCTAAGGGATAACGAATCTTTGCCTGCACCTCTCTTTACTCCCTCCTTACAGTCAAACGCAAACCCTATGAAAGGCAAAACTGTGCAGGCTCCACATTTTTTGGAAGAAAGGGCTGGGAGCATATTTCAAAATGTCAGTCGTTTAAGACCTGGCTGGAAATCCCGTGAATAATCCTGCACATAACTAACCCACAAACCGTGGTTCAGGGTGGGGGAGGAAGGACACGTTTGTCTGCAGAGCTGGGAGCACATCTATGGAGATAAGTCAGGAAGAAAAATCGAAGACTCTCAGATGGTGAGAGTTCGGCTCATTTATGTGGGCTGTGCTATTTACACTGGAAAACAAACCATCAAAAAAACAGTATGGCATAGCAAATTGACGAACGGTACGAAAATAACCATTCCAAAATTACATGAATCATGGCATGTTTGGGAATAACTGCTTACTTCAAAGCAGATGTCGTTTAAGAAGTGCCTCGCTATGTGTGAGCAGCGTGGAGGGTGAACTTTTGAAAAGGCAGCTGCCTTCTCTTCCCAGGAGGGAGGGTGCTCACTGGGCACCACAGGACCCTGCAGGCTGCAGCTCTAGTCCTTGAATTCCTTTGTCCTCCTTGAGACCTGCTGACCTAATGGTGACCTGACAATGGGGTAGGTGCATGAGAACGGGTTCATGCAGAGAGGGACTGATCAGGCCAGAGGGTGGCCCTCCTGCTGGCCCTGCCTCTCCGCTTCCCCTGAGCTGCCACTCCTTGTCCGGTGGCGGAGGGGGTCGGTGGAAAACAAGGCGGAACAGCGTGTAATGACGGGGGCATCTTGTTCTCAGCGCTGCTTGGCATTTTCTTCCGGGAGCTCTCAGTACGCCTTAAACCCAGACCCACCCTCAGGAAGCAAGTGGGGATCTCACATTAGGAGAGGATGGCAGCGGCGGAAAGACAAAGAGACCCTGATGGCTCCTGCCTCTCTCCCGTACTGGCCGCTTCTCAGAGCTGATGGGAACCCCAAGAGGAGGGGACTGGGTCCACCCTGCTCCTCCCTGTATGAGGTTCACAAGCTCTGGTTGACTAAGCAGAGGGAGGGGTGGCCAGCTCATCGCCATGAGCCACCGCGCTCTCAGGAGCGGCGTTTTCCTAAAGAATGCGCATGGTGAGACAAGAGCGGCCTGGGAATCTCGACAGAACTCAAGGCCCAGCACCTTCTCCAACTGTGACTGGTGGACGACTCTGGGGAGGAGGCGGCCATAGCCCAGCTGAGTGTCCGCACTCACTATGCTGAGACCTCCCTGATGAGTGGGTGACAATGTCAAAATAGGGACAAAGAAGAGGTGTGTACAGATGCCTTTTTGAAATGAAAGCCGCCAGGAAGTCCAGCCTGACCGTGAAAGGGCTGCCGGTGCCAGTCCTGAACCTGAGCTTGGTTCCTTGTCTCATCCGAGAGACTGGGGTTGGCCAGCTTCCTGAGCCCCTGACGGTGCTGGGCCAACTGGGAGAGGCAGCAAAAGAGAGGGGATCTCTCCATGGGCAACTGCCAATAGGCCAAGCAAGGTGGGGGGTCAGGGCTCTGAAGAGTTCATTTTCTAACACAACACATGGTGGTGGACATCCATGCACTATATTCCCAAAGCCCATCTGGTTCTGGAAGGTTCTGTCTGATGATGTTGAAATGTGGCTGAGAAAGAGCCCCTTATTTGTGCAAACAGTGCTCAGAGACCGCAAGATCCCTGGAGCATTTACTGAATTCCTGGTGGTCAAGTTCAGACAGTTAGTGGGACTTACTGGTAAACCCAGGTCTCTGAGTTTAAAATGCTTTACTCAGGACTAGGTGAATATCTGGGAGCAGAACCCAGAACAAAAACTACACCCAAACTCAGGATTGGGAAGGAGCAGAAGCCTTGGGAGGAGGCATCCCCTCCTATGTGGCCTCTGCTTCCCACGCAAGAAGGATGCTAATTTTGAACACAAGGAACCATCCACCGTGCCCCAGGGGTCCCTACATTTCCGCACTGTGCATGAGCCAGCTGGGGCTGGGAAGGAAGACTCGGTAGGCACACGGCCTGGTGCTGTCAGGGATGCCGCTGACATCTGAGCCCCATGGAAAAGGATGGGGAAGCTTTCCTGGCCATGCCTGGAGTGTCTTCCCCTAGCACTCAGGACTTGTAAAAGAAAGTAATTGCACCCTTTATTTCAACCAAATAAATGACACCAAGTGGATGAAGATG